CCAAACTTCCGGCTTCTGAATACTCGGAGTTTTTCTGACTTAGCTGAGCTATTATTATATACTCAAACAGAAATTGCCCCAGGAAGCAAGTTACAAGTAGAAGTCTGCAAGGCGAGAAATCGATAGAAAGTGAAAATTATACCAACAACTTTTCATCAAACAAACTGATTGCAAAATTCATCACATAGACACATCAAAAACAATGTAAAATTAAAGTTGTCCTACTATTTAGTTATTTAATGAGCTATATACCATGGAGTCATGTGGTTGAGTGGAGGTATAGGTCCACCATTCGTAACTTCGGCACCAGATTGTGAGCGGTCAGTTTCACTCGCGTGCCTGTGGACAGGACGAATAGTGAAGAGCATTATCTTCTCGAATATAAGGCCGTATAGTCTGCTGAAACTTAACCGACGATTCGTTGGAATATATCTCCTCCTTCTTCAGTGTCGAAGAATAAGCCAAGTAAAAAACAGCGTGAAAGCAGGTGGCAAACGGAGCTCTGCTTGTCATCCGCTTTCACGCTCTTTACTTGCTCGGTTTATTATTCCACCCTGAAGACGGAGGCGGTTTCCTGAGAAACATCGTTGAAGTTTCGACGGACTACAAAGCTTTATATCCCAGAAGATAGAACTCTCCATAACCACCGGTGTGTGAACCTTAAACCCTACACAAGACGAACCTTGACTGTAGGTATCTGTGAATGTTATTACCCATGTTCGTGGATGATGGTAACAATGTTCCTGTCTCCTATTTGTTCTACAAAGCACCTTCTCCTTGTCCGTAGGTGTTCGTCCTTTTGGCGATGTGCAGTGTTGCGCTCGCTGAAGAAGGAAAGACCCTCAAGACAGAGAAGCGCGGCGTCTACGGCCTGGGATACGGCCACGGACTGGGCAGCTACGGGGGCGGATATTCCCTGGGGCACGGGAGTAGCTACTCTCTAGGAGGCCACGGCATCGGCCTACTGAGTGCCGGGCACGACCTGGGTTCAGGTCTGGGTTACGGCGGAGGATTCGGATACGGAGGCGATGGCCATGTGAAGGCCATCACCATTACCAAGGAGGTGCCTGTCCCTGTGCCACAACCGTACCCAGTGACAGTTGTAAAGAAGATCCCTGTCCCTGTGAAGGTTCCAGTAGCAGTACCTGTAGACAGACCTTATCCTGTTCACATCCCTAAACCTTACCCTGTGCCTGTGGAGAAACCGGTGCCCTACCCTGTCGAGAAACCAGTGCCGTATCCTGTTAAGGTCCCCGTCCCGGTGCACGTTCCTAAGCCAGTTGCTGTCCCTGTGCCCAAGCCCGTGGCTGTACCTGTACTTCAACCTGTTGCGGTTCACAAACCTGTCCCAGTTCTAGTGAAGGGTGGCAGTTTTGGTGGCCTTGACGGAGGATATGGCAGTATTGGTAGTGGATACAGTCTCGGACATGAGGGCCTCAGCTTCGGACACTCTTTCGGGGGAGGCTATGGCTTGGGTGGCTACCATTAAGTGAAGCCACTCACCAGCACTGTGAAGGACCTCCGTCCACTATTTTCGTAGGTCTCTGAACAGGCGCATGCTTAAATCAGTCATGAAATCAAGGATGTCCTGGAATTTTACAGCTTCGCACGGCTCGCAAGACAAGAATGTTACGAGGTGTCCTATGATACAAGTATGTACATTGTACGCCAGAACACCAGAAAGATCATAGCAAAGTCTTTTCATCCTCTTTCATAGGTATTTTTATAATTCAAACTGCATGTGTGCACTAATTAATTTTAATATGTTTTGTAATTCTTATGTTAGAGACATGTTGAATATTTGTATAATGTATAACGACTTTTGTATCGTGGCACAAATATATTTTATAACAAATTTTGCGGGTTTATTTTTTACTTCAAACATTATTGGGGTGATTATAAAGAACAATGCCATATCAATTCAAATACAAATTGCAATTATATTCGTTGTCCCTCAGATGTTAATCTAGTGACAGGAGGTTGGAGAAAACTGCATAATGTACTTGTACTCTTCTCCAAGTATAGTTAGAAAGATCAAGTGAAGGGGGATGAGGTGGGCAGGGCATGTAGCACGAATGGGGGAGACGAGGAATGCTTATAGGATATTGGTGGAGAAGCCAGAAGGAAAGAGACCATTTGAAAGACCAAGCCTTAGGTGGGTGGACAATATTACAATGGATCCTAAAGAGACAGGATAGGATGGTATGGATTTGATTGATTATAGTTTCAGTTTCATTTATATTTCAGTGGTTTGTAACAATGGAGCAAGCCATTAACTATTATAACTTGCCAATATATAGGGGCACGCGGTAGCGTAGTTCGTTGAGGTACTACCCTATAAGCCGGAAGGTCGCGGGTAATATTCCCGATGAGGTAATTGGAATTTTCAATTCACGTAATCTTTCCAGCCAAACTATGGTCCTGGAGTCGACGCAGCCTCGAATAGAAGTGAGTATCAGGTATCTCTCTAGGGGTTAAAGAGCGGCTAGCGCTTAAGGTTGATAACCGCCGACTGTCTAGAAAATGTGTCTCTCGACATCTCAAAACCCCACTGAACTCCACGACCTGTTACACGGATAGATTTACCTTTAAATTGCTAGAATATGATTTGTTCTGATTTGGAATTTAGGCTGTATTCGGGAACACAATGAAATATATTAGTGAAGACTCTGATTCGCTGGACGGAACAAGAAGTTGCGTACAGCCAAGCAGATATGCAGAGAGAGGCAAAGGGAAGTGTAGCAGCAGGCAGTGCATATTGTAGTATGGGTCAGGGAAACTTCCTCTAACTTCGTTATAGGTTACTATGGCTTCTAATTGAGGTTCGCTTAGTGGGGGTTGGAGTCCAGCTGGGTCCACTTGGCACGGCGGCCACTGATTAGCCTATTTTAGCCTGCCCCGGGTGATTATGATGATGGAGAATTTGATGGAATAAAGATTGGCAGGGGAAATCGAAGTACTCGAAGAAAACCCACCCCAGCGCCACTTTGTCCACCACAAATCCCACTTGACCAGACACGGGATCTACTCTAATTGAGGTTATCAGGGGAGAGAGACATACTGAGTACTCTAAATCATTGCTTTAGTTCTTGATGGGTCTGTCTCAAGTTTTCTTTATTTTTCAGACTATAAATACATACATTTAGTAACCTACTACATGAGCGATGTATATCCTTGATTACACTAAGTAAAATCAAATTAGAAGAAAACAGTTCCCTTTTTTTTTTCTCTGTCATACCGTGAACTCTTCATGCATCAGACACTGCATATTTGTTTCCTCTGTTCCAAAATTGTGGAGATAGAATCATTACGAAGTAAGGCAAAAAAATAATAAAACTCGTTCATGTGTACAACAGGTACAGGGTCAAACATACTACTAGCTTTGTGATAAACCAGCGTCAGCATGTAACTGTAGCCACAAGGTGACGTTGGTTCCTCGCTCGTGAATTTCTCTACCCTGAAAATGGAAGCGATATGTCCTCCGAAACGTCTGTTCACATAAGATCTACATGGCTCCACATCACAGAAGACGGCCTTCTTCAAATTATTATCTGTTGAACGGAAATTTTAAAATATCCTGTCTACAAGTCACGTTCCGAGCCGGTTCATTCCAGTCGCCATTTTCATGCACCATTTCCTTAGCGCATACTTCGACAGACCCTGTCTCCCTCCTCATTTCCACCCTAGAGATTTTCTCGGCAAAAATTATATAATCATCACATAAAATTCTCTGTATGTAGGTCTATACAAATTGAAGGTGCAGTATATTACCATTACCATCAGTAAGTAATGTGGTCTAGTGGTCAGCGTTCCTGGCTACAGATCCAGAGATCCGGGTTCGATTCCCGGCGCTACCAGACTTTTTCTGAGAAGTAGTGTGTCTGGAACGGGGTCTACTCAGCCTCATGAGGATAATTGAGGAGTTATTTCAAGGAAATAGCGGTCTCGGTTTAGAATACCGAGATTAACGGCCGTGGGTATTTGTTGCGCTGATCACGCGACACCCTCTATCCGCTAAAGTTGGCACTAACTTCTCCGACAAGCGGCAGTCGCTCGGTCGATATACTTCGCTTGCAGACTACAGGCCATGGAGTTGATCAGTAAGTGACATCGATATGCATTCTGTGCTAGCTCAGTTTGATTAAATCCAATTTGTTAATATCATTGCAGGTGGTCATCTTTAAAAGTCCCTTGTAATATTTTCCTACATTCTGCCCTTATTCTTAGAGGCGACTCTTTGTATGCGAAGGAAGTGTACCAAGAAATACAATCTTACAAGAGACAAAACAGAGGAGACAAAATGTCAACATATTTAAATATTTGACATGTAGGCTTACAATAACGAAAGCATCTTTTTCGGAGCTGGGATAGCGTAGTCGGCATAGCGACTGGCTATGGGATCGGAGTTCGAGTCCCTGTAGGATCAAAAATTTTCACTTCTCCAATCGTCCATACTTGCTCTGGGTTCAACCCAACCTCCTATAAAATTGGTACCGGGAGCTGTTTCCTGGAGTAAAGAGGCTGGGACGTGAAGCTGACCACTCACCTCAAACTAGTGCCAAAGTAAAAACATGTAGATCTATATATCTTCCATACGTCTTCATGGCGTAGTGTTTAATTAGTTAAGCAGAACGACTTTTCTTTTCAATGGCTCTTCCAGCCTATTCAGGGCCCAGGCCTCATATTCAGTTCTGTAATCATTTCTCAGAGACGGTGAGACTCTTTGGACGAGTGATCAGCCTGTCGCAAGGCCGCTACCTAAACACGGGACAACACAAACAGGTAAATTACTTAAATTGATGAAATTTTCAGGGGAAATTGCGTCTTTAATTAACGTATTGGTAAAAATATAGATATACAAATCTACTTACTGTATTTGAAAATTAACAATCCCCAGGACTCTTCTTAGCCTAATTATTCCTGAAGACGGATGATGGCAAGGAGTGGGGGAAGGGAACTTCCTACTAGTTTCAGTACAACCTGCGTCTCTGGTAGTTAAAATGAAGGGTGCTACCCTCCTCCTTCAGCACTCAGTGAGGTTCTATCACCACAATGTAACAGAGCAAAACGCCGCTATATACCCGAAGAGTGAGGTTGGCAACCGTGATCCTAGTGCCTGTAAATCGTGCGATTCTGAGACAACCGCGCTCGCCATGCACAAAGTTCTTGAGTACAATCAAGGCGCAGCAGTCATCAGATGTTAATAAAGTAGAACGGTACGCGTTACTGCTTCTGAATGGCGCTGAGTGACGTCACCAAGGTTACACGAACTGACTGAATGAAAGTAAAGTTACTGTTACGTATTTAACTTTCGCTCCTCTTGTTTTCAGTGCAAGAGGCGCTAGTTCTTGTTGTCATGAACGTTCAGCTAATGAATGTTGGCGTTAAAGCATTTGAATCTCCTTTATTTTTAAACGAATAATAAATTTTCGCCACAAAACCGATACCCCACGTTTCACCCATGAATCCAGTCTTGCCCAAAATCATTTTAGAGGTCATAGCAGTAAGATATTTTAGATGGGGACAGGAATTGCGGGGGCGTAATGAAATAATTAAATTCATATTTTCAGAATGAATTAATGAGTTATATTCTTCATGCAATCTCCACGAAGTGAACCTGCAGAGTGCATACCGTTTCGTGCCACATAACACACGTTATGTTTTCAAAATTAATCGAGGACTACATGAAGTTGCAAAGTTAATTACAACTTTGTTCTTAGTGGTCTAATATAAATATGGCTTTTAATGAAATCAAAGTGAACAAGAAGACTGTCTTTAAAAAAATTTAAAAACCGCACACCACATAAACAGGCCTGTTGATCTACATGGTGTTAACACAAATCCAGGTAATATCTATCAATAACTCCAGAAACTGAAATATTTTTGTATATTGTACAAATATTTAACAAATACAAGTACACTACCCTTTGATTCTACAGTATTATGAGATTTGCAACCACATATTTGTATCGGCGCAGCAATTTTTTTTTTAATTCACATAGCGAGGGGTGAAGTCCAACTGGGTCCACTCGGCACGGCGGCCACTGATTGGCCTATTGTAGCCTGCCCCGTGTGATTATGATGATGGAGAATTTGGTGGAATGAAGACTGGCAGCGGAAACCGAAGTACTCGGAGGAAACCCGCCCCAGCGCCACTTTGTCCACAACAAATCCCAATTGACCAGACCCGGGATTAATTCTGGGCCGTCGCGGTCAATCCCGGGCCACCGCGGTGTGAAGCCTGCAACTAACCGCTTGAGCTATGGCGCGGCCTATCGGCGCAGCAAAACTGTAAAGAAAGAATTAGGGAAATACACGTTTCCTTCCCGCTCTATTTTGAAATGGCAATTTATATCATTTCATTTAAACCTTTTCCAATGCATTAAAATTGGTGGAAATGCTAGTAAAGCCCATACTTAAACAGACAAATCACGCACACTTTTATCTCCTGCGTTATGATATTGTGTGACCTACTAGATTGCTACAGTTTACCATGCAGATGATTGTATTGTGTTCCTCCAACACGTTTCATAACACTTACGATACAAAAGGCTGTCACAACCCACAAGATCACAATGTAAATTTTCACCAATATGAAAAATTTAAATCACGTTTACAAGAAAACTGATCGGGAAAATTATATCGAGCTGAAATTTTATCACGTAGTAAATTTTCCTAGAACGCTGAATTCTCATTTGGTCAGTATTGTGCCCCACTATTCTGACCCTCTTCTGGGTCACACCGTTCAACTTAAATAACTACGATAATTTGATTGCAAAAGGTTATTGGAAGCAATCACCCAGGAAAATATTAAAATAGAATTTCAGATGATTATGACGTGAAGTTGCGAACTGCAGCGCACTGGACCACGACGAGAACTCCCAACAGCAGCAGCGACTGCTCAAACAGACCTTTGTTTGAGGCGAAGACAAATCGGAACAGATGTAACTATTAAAAGAAACTCCTTGATTTTAGTCCGCAGGCGAACTCTACCGACTGAGCGACCGCCGCTTGTCGGCGAAGTTTAGTACCAAATTTGCGGATAGAGGGTGTCGCGTGGCCAGCGCAACGAATCCCCACGGTCGTTAATTTCGATTTTCTAGACCTGAACCGCTATTTCCTTGAAATAGCTCCTCAATTATCATCACGAGGCTGAGTGTACCACGTTCCAGACCCACTACTTCTCCGAAAAAAATCTGGTAACGCCGGGAATCGAACCCGGATCTCTGGATCTGTAGCCAGGGGCGCTGACCACTAGACCACAATTCATTCAACTCTTAGTAACCCCTTCAGTCCGAAGATTGTCAATTTGTATTGGGTCCTTGTCTTACAGTACCACCTGTCAGATACGGGACACTACGCAGAAACAAGACCAAAACAAGCTGCGATGGTGTAAGTTCGGAAAGGCGAAAGTATCGTGTGTAGTTATTCACTTGTTTTCAGTTCAACTGGTAGTCGATATAAAGGCAAGCAGCGCTCGTGTCGCGACGGCATACTGGACTGCATTCAGCATCATGAAGTTGCACGTGAGTATACAAAACATGAATATTATATAATAACCGTAAAGCAAATATTCCATATAAATTATAGAAATTAAGAATGGCACACTAGTGTTAGTTTATAATTCGGTAATTTAACGAAACCAAATCCGCTGTTACTGTTATGTGACTGAGGCAAACTCCGTGGAAGGATAAACGAGTGGTGAACCGAGAAGAGCTGATTGTGGGTCAAGAAACGGCTGTTACGTACGGACTCAAAGTCAAAGTCAAAGTCATGTTACAACTGATGGTCCGTCAGTCTGTCTGTCTTGGTGTCGAGCCCCAGTTGGGGCTCATGACCAGATATTTTTTTGAATGAAAGTTACGGTCTTGTCTTTACGGACTCAGTATCTTCAGTCGGCATTTGAATATGGTAGTACCTGCATCACGAACAAGGCTCACGCGATTCAGTAGGTAAGACGTAGCGAGACTCAAAAGGGCCTGACTGAAGTGAAAAGATTCTTTCCAGGTGATAATTCCTACATCGAAATCCACAGGCCGAGTAGAGCCCCAGATTACCCTAATTATTTTATTGTGTTTTATTTAAATTTAATATTCTCCTTTGTTTATTTAACTGCGCTTTCAATAATTTGTTCAGGCTGTGTATTATCTGATGATTTGTAGTTGGTTGAGGGGCTATGCTACAAGCCGGAAGGTCGCGGGTTCAAATCCCGATGAGGTCATTGGCTTTTTTTCAATTTACCTAATCCTTCCAGCCGCACTATGGCCCTGAGTTCGATTCAGTCTCTAACAGAATTGAGTACCAGGAATTAAATAATTATCCTGGGGAGTAAAGCGCGGCCAGTGCGTAAGACTGACAACCTTACCGCCAACTCTGAGCCGATTGTCTAGATAATGTGGGACCCTCAACGTCTCACAATCCTATGGGCCTCCATTGCTTGCTACAGGGATAGCTTTACCTTATTTTTTTACTTTTTAGTGGACAATGAATGGGGAAAAAATGTGAATGTCTTGGCCTAATTTAAGATATTACCCAGGAATTTTCCTTGAGTAATTTGCAGAAAATCACGAAACACATAATCTGGGTAGCCTAAATTCGAACCGGGACCTCTGGAATACTAAGCAGGGGTGCTACGCACTCAGCGGTGACATTTGGTAATTATCATACTTAGTTCTTTTGATATTGTTTGTTTCTTACTGGATATATATTATTAAATTAAGTCCACAAGTAATTTAGAATATTCTTTTATAAGAAAACCCGTTTTAAGATAAAGTTCATATCTTAAAAATTAAATTGTCAATTTATACAGCATGGTATATACATTGTATATATAGTATTTTACATACAAAGAAATAAATGTTTGTTAACCTGAAGCGTTTGTATGCCTATCTCCTTTGCACTTTGAAATAAATTAGGTCACTACTTGAAAGGTAAATTGTCGGTTGTGTGAACTCCTTAAAGGGAGACACCATGACGGTATTATTCTTAAAATGTATTGCCCCAGGTCATTATACTTGCTTTGAAACATTTGCTAAGTATGTTTTTTGTTTTTTGTTTTTTTTTTGGTACTGTGTGAAGTAACAAAACGGAGACCATTTGAACTGCAAGATTTCCCTCCCATTTGGTGCGAGTGACAGACAAATCTTTGTAGCTAGGAATTTGATGTTTAAAAGTAGATAAAAAGTAAGAATATTTAGAAACACTCAGAAGGACAGAATTTTTTAGATTTCATCGGCAAATTTAACGCAGAAATAAAGCTTAAATATTAAATGAGTTCTTCCCAAAAGGAATATACTAAGTGTACTAGTCTTAGTTTAAACGGAAGAGTTGACTGCAACCTTGCTGACCCCAGGTAGTGCCCGGCGACTCCATACGTGTTCCCCTCGTAGCCGGTGACCAGCTCTAGGCTGTCCCTGAGGTACTCACAGCAGTTCAGCAACGCCCCACTTACTGAAACCTCCACCTTCTTTTTTCTTTTCTTGTTCCTTCCCTGACGGCTTAGCAACAGTCAGCTCACAGACCTCATCGTGTCCGCGAGAAGTTTCTTCATGATTCGAGCGTTGGACCCCTCTGTGATCCTATACGCACTACTGGAGTCGATGTTGAGAAGCACTTGCTTTTTTTTAATTCGCTTAGTGGGGGCGGCTACTGATTGGCCTATTGTACATGCCCCGGGTGAATATGATGATGGAGAACTTGATAGAATGAAGATTGGCAGGGGAAACCGAAATATTCGGAGAAACCCCGTCCCAGCGCCACTTTATCCACCACAAATCCCACTTGAGGAGACCCGGGATCGAACCCGGGCCGCCGCGGTGGGAAGCCAGAGACTAACCGCTTGAGCTACGGCCAGGCCAACACACTTGCTTACTGTAACAAAGAAAATAACACGGAGTGATACGGAATATTTTCCCACTGTATTTTTTAAATTTGAATTTAATTAAAAATGATAGAAGGCCCAGTGTAAGGTCTATAACTGCAGAGAACAACACGGGAAGGTGGTCACCAATTGATATTCCCAGCTGCACTTATCTCGCGATGACATTGCTTGGTATCCTTAAGTACATGTGCTGCAATTGTGTATTACTTTTTATTTTTAAATGTCAACAGATGTGCTTAATGGTTATCCTCTTCACCTCGGCCTTCGGAGCGAAGGAGGAGAAGAAGAAGGAGAAAAAAGATCCTCAGGAGAAGGCCTCAGTCGGTAAGACAGAGAAGCGCGGTGTTGAGGAACTGATCTACGTCCCTCAAGGACATGACGACCACAAGCTGATCGGTGGTTACGCGGGCGGGTACGGCTACGGGGACGCAGGGTACGAGTTGGGAGGCCAGCACAGCCTGGGCTTGCTGGGATACGGGGACCACAACTTGAATCCCTCCAGCCGCATCAAAAGCATCGTCATCACAAAGGAAGTGGCAATTCCTGTCCCTCAGCCGTATCCAGTCCCGGTAGAGAAAACGATCCCTTACCCCGTCAAAGTTCCCGTCCCAGTGCCTGTTGTGAAGCACTATCCAGTTCCTGTGGTCAAACCTTACCCAGTCCCTGTAGAGAAGAAAGTGCCGTACCCAGTTGAGAAAATTGTTCCGTACCCTGTGAAGGTTCCTGTAGAGGTCCCTGTCCAAGTCCCTCATCCTGTGCCTGTAGCTAAGCCTTATCCAGTGCCTGTGCAAGTTCCCCACCCAGTCTCTGTCCCTCACCCTGTAATAGTGAAGAAACTGCAGCCATTTCTCCTGGAGCACGGCGATCTCTCTGGCGGCTACGTGGGTCTTGGCAGCCATCAGAGCGCAGCCGTGGACTACAGTTACGAGGGCCTCGGCGATGGCTACGCGTTCACAGGAAGCTCTGACGGAGTGTACACCCAGGGCGGATACCATTAGTTTCTTTATTTTATAAATCTATACTTCTTTATCAACCACAGCCCATTGCTGTGTTACAAAACACGCTCCGTCACTCAATGCCTCATTAACAGACATTTCTTCAGAACTGGCAAAAGACATAGTTTAAAGTTCGTAAAGTGCAGTAAATAATTTTATTTATAAGAGCTTTAATGCAAAGACGTGGTTTTACTTTGTTGTGGCTCTTCCTGTGCTATAGAACTCTCGTTCATGGAATCACTACTACATTCACATCGCAAACTTTTAGACTCACTCTTAGTTAACACATTAAATTATTTAATGTTAAAACGTTTTTAACTGCGACAAGTGAAAATAAATATAATTTCGATTTAGGAAAATAATTTAATGTGCTTACTTCCTTCATAAACTTTCACATAAGTTACACACAGAAAATAGTATGTATATTGTGATATGACGCTTGAAAGTCGGAATAGTTCATTGCTAGACAACGTCACTCTAGGCAGGTTTCTGCAGCAACGGATAGGCTTGTGGGAGAACCAGATCGTTGCCACGAAATTGATACACGTTTTCACAACAACGGATAAACACGAAATAGTAGAAGAATTGTTGGGTGTGGTTACTTATATTCGGTCCTCCCCGCAGTTATTCAGGGGGAACACGTAACTGAGGGCACCGCAATCCCGCGTTAAGCGGGGTCGAATGCCTCCACCGTGACCCTGCGAGTCATAGGAGACGATGAAAAGGGAAGTCTCAGATCCGAGGTAGTAAAATATGGTTGCGAGTCCCAAGCGACTCGCACCTTAGAATAACTGCACTGGCGACCACCAGTAGCAGTTGTAAACGACAGACCCGTCTTCTCGTTAGAAAGGAAGCCCCACATCAACAAACACGAAACTCCCTGATAGTAATAAAAATCTGGTTGTAAGCCCCAGATGTGTTCTTTGTTCCAAGATAGACTGGCAGGCTGACCGCCGGTCGTAATATAAGACTCGACTCGAGGGCGCCCTACAAAAACAAGACCATAACTGTCAAACAGTAATAAATATCTCGTCATGAGCCCCAGATGGGTCTGGACACCAAGAATTACTGACTGATTGTCAGTCGCAATGTGACTTTGACTTGATTCGGCATCCGTCCTTAGTGATTCGTGATTCGCCAATTGGCATTCGTCTTTCATAAGAGAGTTTAGTGAGTTCAGTAGTTCATTTGAATTCAGTTGAGTGTTCAGCTGTAGAGTGTTAACCAGCGGACAGCGGAAGCTCAAGAAGTGACCGACGCGTAAATCAGAACCAAGTCAGTCACAGTGGAAGAGAAGACACTCTCAGTCCAGTAAAGAATGGAGCGAGTCTGAGACAGTCATTGATTGTGAGCTGTCATAACTGACTCTAATTAAGAGTGATTGTAATAGAAGACGTCAATAAATCCAATCATACAATCCAGAATCTATTATTATTATTAGTCACAAAAATATATTAAACGCCAGCTATTGTACAATTTCTAGGAGCCGGGACAATATCGTCGGTATAGCGACTGGCTACAGGCTGGACGAATGAGGGGTCGGAGTTCGAGTCCCGGCAGGAGCAAAAATTTTCTCTTCTCCATGTTATCTAGACGGGTTCTGGGGCCCACCCTGCTCCTATCCAATGGGTGTCGGAGGCTCTTTCCACGGGCCTAAAGCGGCAGGGGCACGAAGCTGACCAGTCACCTCCAGTTAGTGCCGAGGTCAAGAAAATTTGGATGTATACATCAAATTCCCCATACACCTTCACGTCGTACTGCTTTTATAGCTAAGCACAGGGACAAATTTACCTTTAAGTTTTACTTAACATTCAATTTCTTCATGTAATTTGAACTAACATAAATTTCGGTTAATTGAAAATTGTCATAGGCGACTTTAAAATCTCGTAACACCACTGTGTTGGTAATTTCTAATGCACAAAGCATTTCCTGTTGTATTTTTCTGAAATATTTTCATTCGAATTTGTATAAGCCAGGGTTTAGTTGCATTCGTTCATTAGTTATAACGACCATGAATGACTGTATAAGGAGTGGGCCCTCTCGGCCCTTGCAGCGCCACCTACAGTGGTCTATTGTGCTTATATGTATATAACCACCATACGAAAGTCTAAATATACATATCCAAAGTACCAAACAGGTTATTACTATATTTTTACAAAAATTATAAATTTTGCATGCTCAGGAGTATATGAAACTACGTTTTTTTTTTATTTCTGGTGGAGTGGGACTAAGTCCCTAAGTCTTTGCCTACAGTACCAGCCCCAGATGATAGGTGAGGGTGATTGTGGAGCAATTTGTGGAATGAAGATTGGCAAGGGAAACCGAAGTACTCGGAGAAAACTTGCCCCAGCGCCACTTTGTTCACCACAAATCCCACTTGACCAGACCCGGGATCGAACACGGGCCGCCGCGATGGGAAGCCAGCGACTAACCGCTTGAGCTATGGCGCGGCCTATATGAAAGTAAGTCTCAGATTAATACCAGATAATTTTAACTGTGTCTAATAAAATTTATGTAGGAGTAAGTGGAACAAATGTGGGGGTTTCTGAGAAAATATTCTCTTGAGAATATTTGACGTAATAGAGAGGAAGCAACAGGAGAATGAAAACAAAATTGCGCAGCGTGAAATTTCATGCTTTACAGCCTCCACATAATATTATCAGTGCTATACAGGTAAGGAGGCCGGTCACGTTAGTCGAGCGGTCTAAGGCATGCACTGTCTTCGCTCGCTCGGAAGCCGGGTTCCTGGGTTCGAATCCCACTCAGGGAATGGATGTTTATGTGCGTTTTTCTGTGTTTGTGTACAGGTAGAGGCCTTGCGACTAGCTGATCACCAGCCCAAGGAGTCCTACCGTATGTCTAAGATACAGTAAACCAAAGTGAAACGGAGAGTTTCATTGGGGTAGGCCTAGGCCCAAACGAGGGCTGTAGCGCCAATGAAAAAAACAAATACAGTTAAGGAAGATGAGATGGATACAGACAAAGGAATGTAAATTATACAGATATTTTATTCGGGTACTCTCAAGGGCGAGAAATTACTTGGGTATAGATGAGACGAGGCCGGTCACGGTAGCCCAGCGGTCTAAGGCATGAACTGCCTTCGCTCGCTCGGAAGCCGGGATCGTGTGTTCGAATAACACTCCTCCAAGGAGTCCTACCGTCTGTAAAATGATCATGAAACTGAAAATCAGACGCCAGGGTCCAAAGGGGCTGTAGAACCAATGAAAAAAGACGAGAGGAAGCAGTTATAATTAAGAAGTAGGGTTTGTGGGTTTTGTCTATGCCCAGATGAATAATTATAGACATCAAGGAAGGGGCTCTGTACAAATGACAAGGAATGGGCCTGTTCCGTAAAGATGGGGCATTCATCGACAAGGTGATTACGTAAAATCTTCTAAAATATACACAGTAAGAGAAGGAGATAGGCCAGTTTCTTCAGCAGGCAGGAGAGACTTCTCACCGAGCTGAACCAGAGATGAGTGCCGTACTCTGCCTTTCTACAGGATGTGATTGAAATTGGAGCCAAAGGCAAGGTTTGCGAGCGGCCCAGATTTAAACACATAATGGGCATTGTAATCAATTCTGGTAAGTCGTCCACTAGTTCGATTTGGGGTGGGGTTTGAGTCTCACCTTCTTCCCCCAAACATGTTACATTATATTTACTTCAGTTCAACTAGGAACGTAAGAAAGCGATGTGTGAAGTACTGTGGGAGAGACTGCAGTGTGAAGGGGGATTAGTTAGGCCTTGTTTGGTGTCTGTAAATATAAAACAGCTTTAATAATTTGGTGTTAAGTTAAACTATATTGAGCGGGACTTGATATTATGGAATCCCAACCAGTTCTCGTATTCTCAAAGCAATATTTATGTTTTTAGCTCCAGTTTCCCCCCTCTTTTTGTGTGGAATGGGACCGCCTCTGCGGTCTAGTCATCAGCGTTCCTGACTACGGATGCAGAGGTACAGATGTTCAACTCCCGGCGCTACCAGACTTTCTGAGAAATAGTGGGTCTGGAACGGGGTCCACTCAGCCTAGTGAGGATAAGGAGCTATTTCAAAGAAACAGCGGTCCCGGTCTAGAATACCGAGATTAACGACCGTGGGGATTCCTTGCACTGACCACGCGACACCCTCTATCCGCTGAAGTGCTCACTAACTTCGCCGACAAGCGACAGTCGCTCGGTCGGTATAGTTCGCTTGCGGATTACAGGCCATGGAGTTTGTGTTTTGTTTGTGGGATGGGCTGAGAATGGGTCCACTTTATGCGTCAGTTACTAACTGGCCTATTGTAACAGCCCGGGTTGATAGATAAAGATGAATGTGGAGCAGTCGGTGGAATGAGAATTGGGAGGGGAAACCAAAGTACTCGGGGGAAATCTGCTCCAGCGCCAATTTATTCACCGCCAAATCCACATAAGCTGATCTGGGATCAAAACCGGACCGCTGCCTTGGGAAGCCAAAGAATAACCGCGTCAGTTACGGCACGGTCTTTCGTTGCATCTAAGAATTGACATTTTAATGACCAGATAATATAGTATCTGTCCGTTAGATGCTGTCACCAAAATATCACGATACAAATAAACACCTTTTCATAAATTTAAATTTCAGTGAAAGCACGTAAAATATTCTTGTTGACAAAATTGCGGGTAGTCTGGAACTGTAATTTTTAAATTAAAATAAAAGACAAAAACAACAGATTAAATACTGGATAGATATAAAGGAGGAAATTTTATTGTTGCAATTTGGGAATATAAATCAAGCTTTTTAATGGCATTTTTACGTAAAATAATATTTAAGTTCCATGTATTAATTCCAATAATCGCAAACACAGAAATGCGACTCCTCCCACCAGAACACTCCCGATTGCATCGCAATGTTTGAGTCATCTCGATGTATGGTATCGTATTGTTAATAAGGGGACTAATGTAGCAGTGTAGACAAATCTACATTGAAATTAAATAAAAATCCTTTTATTATGCACTGTGTTTACTCACAATTAACGGGTGT